ACACACGGAGTATTACAAGACACCACTGTGGACCCAGTCCAGGGTGTATCCCGCCGACTACTGCTTCAAGTCAGAGATAAAGATATGATCCAGCTCACCTGTGACTCTGAGAATAAGTGCAAGTGAAAATGGATGCATGGATGGATATTTGTCTTGTATGTATCTCTGTATTAAATAATTACTGCATACAAGCTACTGGTGAGAAACAATCCATTCATCGATCATTCTTCATTGATGGGACTGTGTGGAATTTGTAAATAGATCGCATCTTGAAGCAAATAACGCAAAACATTTGGCTACCAGAAACAAAGGCAGTGGCTCAATATCATTTCTTCATTTGCATCCTCATCAATTCTTGGTCTTGCCTGTTTACATGTTTGCAACTCCCACCAGAGATCCCATTGATGAGTCAGGGAGTACAACTGACTGAGGAGCGAGGGACAAATGTTTCAATAAATGAGAAATTTGCTGCTTGATGTCCCAATTTTATAAAGATGTCACTTAAAAAAAAATCATGTCAAGTTATTGGCATGTGTCTCTGTGGCTGATTTATTAACATAATTCATATATAACTACACAGATGCCCATTTTGCTGACAGAAACACGCCCTGCCTGTGACGCATGTGTTTGGCTTTGGCTTTGGCGCTCTCTCTTCAGGGTGTACCCCGCCTACTGCCCGAAGACAGCTGGAATCAGATCCAACACGCCCGCGACCCTTTTGAGGATAAGCAGATTAGAAAATGGGTGGATGGATGCTACATAAACTTCTTCCTTATAACAGTGTGTCATTTTGAGGCCTGAGATTTCTGGTGTCTGAAATTGAATTTCAGTCGTATTATTTTTCAGAAACTGACAAATCCACCTTGAACAAAGATAGGGTGTCCATTCTCACCTCCGAGTGGCCAAAGGAGCATGCATTGTGCAGTGGTATCAGTCCGCCGTCATCCCTTGCGTGGACATTAGCGCCGATCTGAAGCAGGTGGTCAACCACATCTTTACGCCCGAAACCTGACAAGACAGGCGAAAGAATAGCAAAATGAAATTAGAGCAGGAAACAATTTTGTGTTTAGTATTTCTAAACACATGTTTATCACAATTGCAAGCATTAATGTCATTATCAAGTACTGGCACTGGAAAATGGTGTGCTCTCAAATTAAAGTACTTCTACTCAATCTGAAAAAAAAATTAGCGGGGCATCCTGAGTTGTGGCACCGTGGCTATTTACAGCACAGGTGTCAAACTCAAGGGCTGGGGGCCAGATGTGGCCCGCCACATAATTTTAAGTGGCCCTCGAAAGCAAATCAAGGACGACAACTTCCATAATACTTGCTAAAATGTGTACCAAAATTCAAAATTTTCACATGTAATAAATCAGTGGCATATTGTAAGCATTTTCTTGTTACCAAACCCCTCATTACAGTTACATAAACAATAGTTTAATAAAACGTTATTCTTGACTTCTTTATATAGTTTTAGTCATCAAGGCCCTCCAAGGGAAAAATGAGTTTGACACCCCTGATTTACAGGTACGACCGGCGAAGCATTTGCCCCAAAACAATTTGGAAACAGTTTACAAACAGCCCACTTTCTGAGTAAGTCTCATGGTGTCTACATTCAGCAAAGTGAAAGGGTCTAGATTTGTTTTCCGCGAAAGCCGGACGATCTGTTTATATATACTGTCTTATTATTTTAGCGAGCAACACCTATAAGCTATTGTCACTGTGATGACAACGTCTTAATGTTATTTCTTTTCGCCAGCATTTGCCAAAAACAGTTTAAAAGCAGCCCACGTTGTGAGTAAATGTCATGGTATTTACCTGCGGCAAAGTGTAAGGGTGTAGATTTGCGTCCAGCCATATCTTTGGCGTTCACATTCGCTGTGTCTGCCAGCTTTTTCACTCTCAAAACATCTCCATTCCGACAGGCTTCGAACAGCTCCCTGAACGCCCCGGTCGTACCACTGAATCCACATCCACCGTTGCCGCTGCCCGTGTTACCGTCACCCGTATCGGGCGTCGATGCTTCGCTCGTCCCGCTGCCTTCCGTGGTGGTCGGGGAGCTAGCGATGCTGCTAGCAGCGCTGCTCAGGGCCAAAACCGGGGTGCTGCTGGTTGCCGTGGGAGAGGCCGGGGAAACCTCACCGTCCGCGGCTGCTTCGCGAGGGAGAAGCGCGGCATCGTCAGACGGGGACAGAGACGAGCCCGACGGGGTGACGGGGAGCGAGGAGGTTCGGGGTGGGGAGGAGAGAAACTGAGGGGACCGACGAGGCGTCGCCATTTTCACAACACAACAATCCCCAGTAGCAACAAACGCCGCTGACAACTTCCTGTGATGTCAACCCAAACTTCCGGCTGGTCGTTTTTAATTAATTAATTTTTTGGCTTCTTCTTCTTCTTCTTCTTCTTCTTTTGTTAATTACAGGAAATACACACGTAGTTCTGCTATTTCCTGACACAATAGGAGATTTTTAATTTGTTTATTTATAAGGGGTCAAAAGCGACATAGTAAGCCAAAGGCTCCTTAAGTAATTTATTAGACACATACAAGACAAATGACAACAAAAACTAAGTAATACTGCCCTCTCGTGGTCGTCATGAGGATTGTTACAAAATGAAGTAAAATACTGTACTTGACTATGGCTTTCTGGTAAACATAATGAGAACTGCTGTTCAGTGCCATATCATGCACGGTATTACCTTAAAAAACATTGTCTTGTTTTTTTCAGAGCACAGACATGATTTTTTTACGATTTTCGATGATTTTTTTTTTGTTATTCAAATTCAAATTTGACAAGTTTGTTAATAATCTATTTTCTGTGATGTGCCAAATGTATAATACATATTTATTCTCATTTTGCAGCTACTTGAATATACTCCCTCTGATTTTATTTTGTGTTGTATTAGATATTTATTTGGACAGAATGATGTTTCAGCGGACAGAGTGAGCAGCAAAAAAAAAAAAAAAAAAGATTCTGACCGCTATAGGGTCCCGACAAGTGAAAAGGTGGATAGTGCAGGACCCGTTCCCAGGCAGTGCTACCCTTGTGTGGTCCAATTGGTTCTGTATGCAATGTCCATGAGCTGGAGGAGTCATGTTTTACCAAGAAATTAAATACAGAACCTTAAACCGGTCACACAGTGACTGTCAGTAATGTCACCAATCAAGAAGCCACTTCAGGACTTTGGCATTTTAAGAGATCAGCAAAGAATAACATAGCTATACACCTAGATATATGATGTTCTTAAGACAAAAATAAGTGATAAATATTTCATGACACAATTTGTCAAATGAAAAGTCGGCATAACTGCTTCTGTTACACTGTAGACAAGAAGTGATGAATACAAGTTGACCGGGTCGAGACGCCCAATCGTGTCTGGTTGGTTGACATAATTGTCATACTTGTGTTTAAACAGCTCTCTTTTGTGTGTCACTTCAAATGACAACAAAACGTTGTGAGCGGGGACCAGCTCAAACAAAAACAAATACTGTAAATTGCAACCATGCAGACCGGCGAGCAACACAATGAGACACAATGCACGAGTTATTGTTTAGTATTGTGCACCACAATGAAAGTAGGGAACCTCAGTACAATTTTGAACTCGACACATTGTTAGAAAGATGACGCACACTACAACGGTGGTGATGTATGAGGTGACACGAGATGATTGCCTTTATTTTATTCCAAATGTTGTGCCAGTGGACCTCAGAAGAGCTGAACAAGAAATCAAATGTCGACCAATTATTAGACTCATAACATAAAATGTGAAACAGGCTTTGTCTGTGTGAGTTTCACCATGCAGCTGTACTCAGACTGTTTCTCTCAGAGGCTGATGACGTTGATGGCCGTATAACAAAAGAGTGAAAGTGTACCCCCTCCTTCCCCCACAAACCTGGTTGCATGCTGATCCCACAAGGGTTGCAAATCTCCACTACTGTATTACTCTCATGTAATGAGTGGATTTTCAAAAGCAGATTTGAACGCAAACAAAAACAAAGCTTTGAGGAGGAGTCACTCGGCACGCGTTTTTGATCAGAACTTTCCGGCAGGACAGCATTCTTAAGAGCCTTTCCCCAAGTGTGGTTCACATTTTGATTCTCACAAGTCCCTCGTCGTTACAAATGTACTTGGAAGCGTTGTGTTCCAAGAGTGGACTTTTGATGACCTGAAAAAAAAAATATAAGCATATACAGGTACATTTCAAAAAATATTAAACATATAAGAAAATACTTGACAGAAGGTCGGTTCCTCCCCAATCTCTGTGCGAATAATTAATAGAATAATTTCTGATATAATATTGGTTCTCCTTGAGGGTTGGTGAGTTTGTGGTTTCCATTAACTGCAATGCTCAAAATTATGAACAACTTAATGATGATATTCTCATGACATTTTATGTGTATTAGTTTTGAATATTCCTTATGATCAGAAATGAATGCCCACTTGGTCTTATTCATCTTAAGTGATATTATCTGTCATATTGATAGATAAAATTTTACTTAAACCACTGACAATGCTTTTTTTTTAAGGCCTTATTTCTTTCTGGCATAGATGGCGATTCGCGTGAAAACTGTCAAACTGTGTCAAGCTGCTACAGTATGTGTACAGTAGCACCAATGGCTGGAGAGGCGGACATACTTGGTCAGTTTATCTTTTTTTTTTTTTTTGCTCTAGGTATCAGTGGCTGGTATCAACAGGTTCCACCAGTATGATACCTTAAAATTAGGCATGCAGTTATCTGAAACAATACCGATACCTGCTCGCCTGTCCATAACTATTGCAAAATGAAGGCACCCAACTCAAATATTACAGTTCAGTTTTAATTCACTTTTAAATTCAACACATATGATCTTTAAGAACGGTTTGTTTTTAAATCTCAACCCCAGCAATTGATATTTGCATTTTTGTTTTGAAACTTTTATTTTGGTCACATTTCAAGTGAACTATCATGTGCAATACATTTTAATAGACTCTTTAGCCTGCCACTGGAGTTTAATTTTGGTCTTAACGGGTGATACTGTAAGGGGTAAGTATTTTTTTAGGGGGTAAAAAGTTGAACCACTGCAAAGTGAAACTGATCTTTCCACTTCAAGAAGAGTACCTGGCAAGCAAGGCCCACGCCACGTACGTCCACGCCCACAGCTGCCAAGTCTCCTTGATAAGCACTTGCCGCAAGCGTCTCGACTCAGTCGCTGCACTCCTTCGTGTAAAATACACACGCGCCCATTCGCCGAGACCGACTTTCAAAATGCCGAGCCGAAACTCGCAGGAGTGGATGCGCCTGTCCCTCCGCACGCCGGGAATCTTCATTTTCGGCTTGGTCATGGCGCCCTGCGGCTGGGTGCTCAACCTGACCGCCACGGTGGCCCCCAACTGGAGGACCCTGGAGGACTTGCCCGACAGGCCGAGCAACGAGTTCATCGAGCAGGGCATCTGGGACATCTGTCGCTCCGTCACCACGTCCACGTCGTCCACGTGCGGCCTGGAGGACGGCACGTACTTCGGTAACGAGATCATCGATGTGGCCCAAGGGCTCATGGTGGCCTCGCTGGTGGTCACCCTCGCGGGCCTTGCCGTGGCCATCCCCGGGATCCGCTGCTGGAAGGACAGGCCCAATTGGGTGGTGGCCGGCCTTGGGGGTGTGTTAATCTTCATCTCGGGGGTGTTTATCCTCATCCCCATCTCGTGGTACACCCACATCCTGGAAGACATCAGCACGGTGACGCCCAGGGTGACCGTGCGCGTGGGCTACTGCATCGTGCTGGGTTTCATCGGCGGCATTTTCGAGATCCTGGGCGGCTTCGTCATGTTCATCGGTATCTGTCGCTGCTGCGGCGGAAAGAACCGCGGCGAGGTGCGGGTGCAGGAGACCGGGCGCACCCGCTTCAGCGCGCGCCCGCAATCGCAGCCGAGACGCGTGGACGTGCCCTCGCTGAGCCGGGACCGGAGTCCCGCGCCCAGTAGCGTGCCCTACATCCGGGACTCCCTGGACGACGACGTCTCCTTCCCGAGGGCCAAGAGCGCCGGGCCCCGATCCGTCGACACGTCGTTCACCGGCAGGCCCTACGATGCGGACTTGTGAGGGGGCCCACCGCTGCACGCACACGGATACACTCACACACACTCACACGCCGAGAAAGTTGATTAATTGCTGTGTTTCCCAACCATCGCTAAACCAAGATACATATTTGAACTTGTTGGTTCTTTTTACCTTTTTTTAGGTTGTTATTTACGTGACATGTTTCACATGATGAATATCAGCTGATAGACGAGTCACCAATCATCACGTGACACTGAAGGAGGCGGAAGACTTCCGCCGAATTATGCCAGGTAAATAACCTTAAAAAAGAAAACTTGTCTGAGAAAAAGAACCAACAAGTTCAATTATAAGTAAGAGACAGAAACAACTTTATTCGATTATCAAGCCACATATTTTCCATGAGAAAAATCCAGTGGTGGCAAATGACGAACGACTCCGTTACTGTACTATACTTTATGCCCATTCGACTTGAACATTTGTTTTCTGACAACTTTTTACTTCAACTCCGTGAAAGCTGAACATGTTAAATTGTTATTTTGTCAAAATTATATCCTCCTACGAAGTTACCAAGTACAAATACTTACTTACTGTCCTGGGAAATAGGTTTTTGATGGATCTGCACTCTACTCGAGTATTTTTGACAAGTTACTTTAACTTCCTACACAGTACACACACTTTGTTTCTGTACTTAAGTAGGGTTTACCTGTACTTTAGTATTTCTGACTACTTTTTACTTTAACATGGAGGGTTGACCTAAATGACTCAATGAATCTACACATACTTAAAGAAAAACATTTTTGGTTTGGGGTACAAGTTTAAGTCAAATGTAATGTTGTGGCAGTCAATTACTTTGTAAACGTGACTTAAGCGTTTCACGGGGTTTTCTTTTTGGTTTGGGCAGATAAAAAAAACACAAAATGGGGAAAAAAAAACAGCATTAACGGCAATGACTCAGCAGATTCTGTATCGCAAGATACTGTATTCCCCATCCATTGCCTTGAGACTTGAATCCACATTTGTACTTTTACCAGAATATTCTTTCACACAAGTATCTCCACTTCTACTTAAGTACAGCGTATGAGTACGTTTGCCGCCTCTGGAGAAATCTCATGGCACACCATTGAACAAAAATGTCAGAAAAAGTACGCATCAATGTACTCAATAATGAAGTTACACAGAGCTACTATTATGTTTTATCATCGGCATCGGGTCTGTTGCACCGAGTGGAGGAGCATTCAATTGTTCTGTTTGTGATAGATGAACAAAGACATGCTCACCCTCTCTGATAATGTTTCAGAGCACAGTGGTTGGGAATCATTGATTTGTTGGACATTAATGCTGATCGCCACATGACAACATTCTGCATTTGGACAAAGGCTTAAAAAAACAAAACAAAAACAAAGTAACATCCAATCCTTTTTAACATCATCACTGTAGACTGAGACTGCCTTGTTTTATTTTTGCAAGCTAATTGAAGGTTCAAGTGGCGAAGAGAGATCAAATAAGTTAATATTGTTGAAGCCAAAGCTGTTGGAGTATTATTGTAATGTTGTACCATGCCATGAAGGAGTCATTTTTAATTGCTCTTCGTTGTCGTTTTGGGGTTTGTGGAGCTATTTGTGCCTAAAAAGCAACGCAATCAAACATTTTATTGAAGGGGAATCTTGTTTTTTTTGTTTTTTTTTTTTTTTGCGAAGAAAATCAGCCACATTAAGTTTGTCTTGTATGTTCTTTTGTACATACGTATCATATTTTTCTCGAGCTAAGACAACGAACAAGCCTCTCTTCTGTTTCCATGTAAATATTCCTATACGCACTTTACGTTGATGACACGGAGTAACGTGATCAAGAATGTTTTCACTGTTGTGCAAGTGCTTTATTAAACTATACACTGTGGCTGAAAGGTGAATCAGATTTTTTTTTTCCTCGTCGTTGTGTGGCTGCTTTCTCAGCTTGTATTAAGAGCCAATAGAGCTGCTGTTGCTACTCATATATCGGCCCCTTGAGAGGAGACGTCAGTCCATAGAAGTTTGTGCATGTCTCCTGATTTACGGAGTATAGACAACTCAAAGAAAAACAACGGTTTGGCTTCATTGACATTTACCAGTGTAGGCCACCCTGTTGGTTCACTTCGAAGAGGCTAAGTATACAGACAATGTCACCTGACCGGTCTGCGTGGCTTCTTTGCCGGCGCAGCTCGTCTGGCAACATGGGTTTGTCTGTTTAAACGTTCACAAATCAGACAAGCCAACGTAATGGTGAACAATCGGTCCTCTGTAGTTCCTTCGAGTTCTTCATAGAACGACGTGTTTTCACGTGTCGATATATGTGAAAACACTTCAGCACTTGATGTCTCAGGCTGGATATATTTTGTGGGTTTTAGGTGACAGAATTCTGAATTTTTTTGCCCTCTAGTGGCACAGTTCAGATCTGCAGCAAGGCAAAGTAAGAACAAATTTTTAAGGGGGGGAATTAAAAAACACTTCAAGTCCCAGGAAAGTGAAAATGTCTTGGAAATTTGACACACTAGAGAGAAGAATATTGTTCACAACCGTGCCAAATTCAAATAATTGAAAAAAATGTCCAAGTACAATGATCAATGATCCCTCGCTATTTCGTGGTTCGTTTATTGCGGCTTCAGTGCATCACGGATTTTTTCAAACATATTCATCAAAAAATATTTTTTTTTTCAGTCTGCAAAAAGTCTGCAAACGGTCCGCAAGAAGCAGCGAGAGTCATCAAAACAACACCGAGTCACACAGAACAACATATACAGTCTTCTTCTTCTCCTTTCGGCACGTCCCTTTTCAGGGGTCGCCACAGCGAGTCATTAATTCCCATCCGTCCCTGCAAACCGCCCTATCAACTCGCATGTCCGTCTTGGCAAAAGTTTTACGCCGGATGCCCTTCCTGACGCAACCCTCCCCATTTCTCCGGGCTTGGGACCGGCACCGGGGAACAGTGTACCCCCAGGGGAGGGCACTGCTCCCCAGCGGCTGGGTTCGAACAACATATACAGTACTACATGTATATGTTTACTGTATTTTGTTATTCATACACAAACCTAACTTATACATGTTTAAATCTATTAGTATACAGAATTAAGTAATGTTACTCAAAAATTTACTTCTACATGCATATATAACATTAAATTTGGCCTTATATTTTTTATACTCATTTACATGTAAATGTACCTATAAGTGGCAGGGGCCGGGGTCGCTGCTTCGCAGATTTTTGTTTATCGCGGGTGGGTTTGGTCTCCATTAACCGCGATAAACAAGGGATTACTGTATACAAAATGAGGCTTCAAAATCATCCGATGATTGTCAAGTCGGTCCACCCCTCACCAATCCTTTTCCCCTTCCTGGTGGTTCCGCCTTTCTCACAGTGACATGCGTGCACTCATGGGTGACAAGGAGCCAGCCTAAAACTCGGTCCACATGTCAGAAAACAAACAAAAAAATCCTTTCTTACTCCTCCACTGCTTGTTGCGTGACACTTGCACTGATGGCTGACAACGAGGCACTCTAACGCCCTGCCAGCGGACCATCCAAAGGAAAGATGCATTTTTTTGGCATGTGGGCACAGCCAGCTAGCTGACTGCATGTAGCAATTGTGCTGGATAACTGCGGATGAGAACACAGGTGCTCAAGTTCTTATATAGTGGGGGTGGTTGGAAAAGCTAGCATCTAGAGAGGTGCTAGGCTTCAAGTGCAGCCACTAATATTCTCAAAGCCAGGGTTTTATGTACCGGTACTCAGGACTCTGTCCAAAAGTGATGCACCTCTAAATATTATTGTATAAATTTGCAGCTGTGACAGGCTTAAACCTGGTACGCAATTTCATATTTTCACCTCTGGTGCACCACTTACAGCGCAGATGTCAAACTCAAGGCCCGGGGGCCAGATCTGGCCCACCACATCATTTTATGTGGCCCACGAAAGCAATTCAAACATGTCAACTTCTACCATGATTGCTAAAATCTGGACCAAATTTCAACTCCTCATATGTAATAAATACAAGCAATTGTAAGCATTTTCTTGTTACTAAACCGCTCATTAAAGTAACTTCTTGAAATGCTTTCACAGTCATAACGACCCTCCAAGGAACATGGTCACTTCAATGTGGCCCGTGACAAAAATAAGTTTGGACACCCCTGACTTACAGTATCTGCACCTTGGTTAAACTTCCATCCATTTTATAGCACTTGTTTTCATTTTTTGTCACAGGTGAGACACACCTGCTTGCTCTGGGCCAAAGGCGGAGTACTGATCTGCCTTACATGCCTTTAGTGACAAAATGGAATACACTGAATGAAACAAACAATCCCCCCCCAAATTTGAAAGCCCAATTAGTCCCTCCAAGATATTAAGACAATATTCAATCCTGGTGTGGATTCAGATCAAAATTGCAAATCCGGAACTATTTTTGCCACCTTTGTGTACAGTAAGCCTGGCAAAGATCTAGGCTTGTTCAAACAGGTTGAGTAATTAATGTAGTAATCTGCGTGCACACAGCTGCATTTATGGATTGAGGTCATGACAGTTCTGGCTCAATTTCTTTGTTTCAGGTAGGCGTCATAAGTAAATGACACACGTGGCGATTATGTGGGGCACTGCCTCGATTAGAGCCTTGAGTGCTAACCACCGTGTCGTGACACATTGGTATGCTGTGAACAATCGACAGGCGTGTCATCGGAAATTATCCAATTTCAAGTCAAAGCTCAGAAAAAAAGAAATGTTCAGCCATCTATGCCAATGACTTATTGTGATTGACAGAACAATGAAATGTTCTACCACTCGATGGGAGGAGGAACATATTCATTTTTTGTGATATTTCTAGTGGTGCTACCAGATTTTTTTTCTTCTGTATGTGTCCCTGGGATCAAAGGTCAGGGAAACCGTATGAAAGACATCTCTTATTTGACTGACCACATACTTTTACACACCGTATTGCCTCTTAGGCTCGGTTGACATTACACATCAATTTAAGTCACAACGAAAGACATGATAAAAAAAATAAATAAATAGCAGAAAACCAGTCAAAGAAAGTACGGCAGATACAAAATACAAGACACATCTGAATTGGGTCAAAGTTTTATTTGAAAACATCAAAAGTGCAAAATGACTGAAAAAAATCTAACCCATAGAGTTCATGAAAAAAAAAATTCTACCTCTGGTGCATCATTTGAAATTGTTTACCTCATTTTGCTAAAAATGAACAAGCTGTATAAAAAGCGCTTCAGTAAAAAGTATTAAAAAGAGGCACTCGCGTTGGGTGGTGCACCTGTACATGGATGAGTTGAAACCGTCTGTGCCATTTCACACTGCGCAGTCAAACCGCAAATGAGTACACTTTGCATGAAGCGACTGTTTGTCTGGCACTCGAGTGCAGTTTCTTTGCCTTGCTCGAAGCAACAGTTGGGCATTAAAAAAAAAAAGAAAAACATTACATAATTTTCTTAATCATGTCTTGAGGCTTTTAGGTAATCGGATTACTCGTGTAAATAATGACAAAACGGAAAAATGGACGGTGCTTCACGACTTTACCCATCGCCTTGAGCGGGGGAAAAAAAAAAAGGTGCGAACAGGAAATAAAGCAGACTGGTATTCTACTAAAACCTGAAACTGTCAGTGTTTATAGTTCCTAATAAATATTGTTTCTTCTCAAATAATTTAAGCCGTGAGGGAATATGTTTCCATCTGTGTAAAGTAGAAAAGTAAATTAGTGGGTGGGAACAAAAACACTCCCTTTGGTGAGTGTTCGGGCTGCACAACTTGTTGGTTGACAAAAGGCAACGTTGCACCACATTGTCAGCACAGTTCAATACTTAAACTGCGTTCCTGTTCTTTCAATGGCGTGGAGGCTTTTTTTTTTTTTTTTTGAACAGGGGCGGGTGTGACTTGAAGCTGCTGTTGGCCACAAACAGAGGAGTAACTACTTGTGTTAAGTCATTCACCACAATATAAAAAAAAAAAAAAGAAAAAAAGGGAAAAGTTTGCATCCTGATAAGCTCGTAGACAAATTATTTCTTTTTGGTTAATGATCACGTCTCTCGGGTCAGACATTGCTAAGGTTGGGGGCCCGAAACTCTGTGCCAGTTCTTTTGCATCAGATACTTCGCCTTCCAATACACCTGAAAAGTTTGCAGGACTGGCGCTTATAGCAGGCCTGCAGAGTCACTTTATCTCAAGGTGCAAGCTCCGTAAAGAACGCAATCATCATCAAAAAAAAAAAAAAAAGAAAAAAAGAAAAAGATAGCTGACTGATGCTGAATTGCGACCGTTTGGTTATATTTTACACGTATTTTTTAAAAAGTGGGGTACCGTACCAAAGCTGCTTACAATTTCAAACCGTGTGCGCCTAGGCATGATTTCACGATTATATTGTAACAGATTTTTGTCACATCATAAAGTGCACTTCAAGTCCAACTGTAAACTTATTAAAAGGGATTGCACCCGCAGTGGTCATTTCCCTTGGCATAAATCTACAATTGTTGAGATTAGGTTGCGTGTGGTGTTTGTGTGCTGTGTGGGCAATTTCAGGAACATGACACACTAGCCACCCCCCGCACCCCACCCCTCATCGCGTTGCTTCCCTTACCAAAAAAAAAAAAATTAAATCAGGACCACTTAAAAGGAGACATTTCAATTACCACAAAGGTTTGCTTAAATGTGTTATATAAATATCACCTGCCCCACATATGAGCACAAACATTTTCCAGGTAAAACAAACTAAGGGAATAAATATAACAGCATGCTTCACTTTCAGCATGTGGCAGTGTCGTTTCATCAGAAATGTCAGAAATGGTTAGACGGCCAAATCAATCACAGTAAAGCTTAATTCAGCATTTGGGTTGGGGGGGGTCAGCCCTTCAAGGAGCAAAGGTCCATGCTGGTCCATCTTAACGCTTGGATAAAATGAGCGAGGAGGTTGCAGAAGAACGTTTGAAGAGGGTTCACTTTAACTTGCCTGAATGAGAAGGACAATTTTTTTTAGGAAAGCTGCTACTCCTTTCAAAAGTGGGAAAAATGTGAATACTCATAAAATGAAAGGAAGAAGATAGAATACACTGAAATCTAACATCATAGGACAGGATTAAGCACACAAAGTAGTACCTCCAAAGTTCACTGAAATAACAGTCCATCTTCTGGCCATAACTCAATTTGAAGGTCAACCCATCATCACGTGTGACAGCAAATAACTTCAGTTCGGTGACGAGCTGTCGGACTGACTCTTGAACTAGATCTTATTTTGACATGCAAAAGAATCTAGCGGTGAAGTACAATATGAAAATTATTTCCAGTTGCAGCTACACTCGTGAACAGTTTTGCTCCATCTCCGCTATGTTTCCGTCAGACGTCTCCTAAAGGGCGAGGAGTTTTACTTTTAGATTGATGATACAGGGATTATTTTATTTTTACACTTACATGACAGGGATCTTATTTAGGCCAGTTGCCTGAAGAGTTAAAAGGTTTTAGGATGACAAAATTCATTCGCTTAAATTGTTTTTTTTTTCTTCTAAGTCAAAAAAGTGGACGTTAACCAACGTCAGGAAACCTTGTGCACAACTTTGAAGGTTCCTTTGCATTTTTACTGCATTTCCAAAGCACTTAAGTTAGGACGAAGAAAGACGCCTCAAAAAGTGATAGTACTTTTTAAACCCTTTCATGCACCCTGTAACCTGATAAGCTGCCCACTGTCGTAACCGCTGTCCCTGAAAGGGTTGAAGTAAAATCCAACAAAAGCGGACTCAACTTTCTTGCGCAGAAGGTAATTCAACCGGTTTCCCTCAATAGGGCACTCTAGGTCAGAGATCGGCACCAGACCGTGCTTATCAGAGTAAAAGCATCATAAAGTATCTTTTTTTTTTTTTTTAATGTTAATGTGCATGCCTCATGCTGAAATATTTTATTAGCAATATCAAACACATACCTCTGGTGTTAAGGTGATGGACCCGCTTCACAAAGGACTTGTTTGGCCATATTTTTCTCCCTGATGACGAAAGAGAGCATATGAAAAGCTTGTCATGTACAGAAAAGA